CTATAAATATTTTTATACATGTGGGTCCTTTTCCCTTTTTTATGATCTCTTTGGGATACAGGCCTAGCAGGGGTATTGTTAGATCAAAGGGTATGCAAAGTTTTATAGCCCTTTGGGCAGAATGATTGGATCAGTTCACAACTCCACCAACAATGCATTAGTGTTCCAATTTTCCTACATCTCCAACATTTATCATTTTCCCGTTTTGTCATATTAGCCAATCTGATAGGTGTGATGTGGTAGCTCAGAGTTGTTTTAATTTGCATTTCTCTAATCAGTAGTGATTCAGAGCATTTTTTCATTTGACTATGGATAGCTTTAATTTCTTCCTCTGAAAAGTGCCTCTTCATATCCTTCGCCCATTTATCAATTGGTGAATGACTTGTATTCTTATAAATTTGACTCAGTTCTCTAAATGTTTTAGAAATGAAGCCTTTATTAGAGACACTGGCTGTAAAAATTGTTTCCCAACTTTCTGTTTTCCTTCTAATCTTGGTTGCATTGGTTTTGTTTGTGCAAAACCTTTTTAATTTAATGTAATCAAAATGATCAATTTTGCATTTCACAATGTTCTCTACCTCTCATTTAGTCATAAATTTTTCTGTTATCCATAGATCTAACAGGTAAACTATTCCTTGCTGTCCTAATTTGCTTATAGTATCCCCCTTTATGTCTAAATCATGCGCCCATTTTGACCTTACAGTATACCTTATGTGGTATAAAATGTTGACTATGCCTCGTTTCTGCTATATTATTTTCCCAGCAGTTTTTGTCAAATAGTGAGTTCTTATCCCAGAAGCTGCAGTCTTTGGGTTTATTGGACAGTAGATTACTATAGTCATTGACTACTATTTCTTGTATACCCAACCTATTCCACTGATTTACACTCTATTTCTTAGCCAGTACCAAGTAGTTTTGATGACTGCTTCTTTATAGTACATTAGCTATGGCTAGATTGCATATACTTTCAAACTCAGGTGATGTATTGGTTAGTTTTGCTGAACCATTTTTTCTCTCTTTTTAAATATTCTTTGTTATAAGAAATTACTGTATGGGAAGCAGGAGGGAGGGATATATCTGGAAATAAAGATAATAAAAGAAAACAAAAGATGTAATTAAAAAAAATAGAATACATCCAATTTTACATGTGTAGTTTTAAAAGCCAGAAATACAGAAGTTCATTATAGTGGTTCCCTTGTCCCAGTATCTACCATCTTTTCTTAATTCAATTTTGTTGGAGCCCAATCTGTGTAATTACCTTAGCCTCCCTCAATAAAGGAAGAAGCTAGAGGAAAGGCTCAAATCCCCTGAGTTACCCACTGAAGAAAGGCCTAAGCTAACGGCCCAAAGCTTCTTTCCTTGTGAAAAGTTTGAAAGTCTACTAGTTGCAAATTCCCAGGTATTCCCACCCATCAATGAATCAGCACCATTCCCAACCACCTTGATTTGCACACCATGCCCAGAAGCCCCTCTCCTTCCCCTCAATGTCTGGTCCTTTTTGACCCGGGTAAAAACCCTATAAAAACCCCTCAGGAATTTTACTGGTCTTGATTCCCCTTGACCCAGCCCACTGTGCATCTGTTCGGTCACCCCTAACTGCCCTTCTTTGGGGAATCCCTCTCCTTGGTAACGCTGGCTTGCTTTTCTCTTTGTTGACTCTGTGCTCTGTCTTGTCTGCTCCTTCTTCCTCATGCTGCACCTGGGAATTCTGAATCTCACTCAAACTGCATCAGGATAACCCCAGGACCAGCCAAGGGGTGCTCCTTTAGGGACAGTGGCGGCTACTTGTGCCAACAGGATCTGTAAGCAATTCCATTTGCCCCTGACTATGGCACAATCCTATTGCGATCCTGTTTGGCCCTCTGCTGAGATGTAACTTGCAGTGATGATTCTTTTACTTTCGGATCTGCTCTTTGGCCTATTGACTCAGAGACAGTCAGGCAACGAACATTTATGAAGTGCTTACCATGCCAGGGACTGTGCTAAGCACCAAATACAAGCATGCTGCCAAAGAGCTTCCATTCCAAGCAGGGAAGACAGGCCACACAAGGGAGCTGAAAGGCAGGGGAGCCCCAACAAGGCCATGATGGAGGAGTCTGGAGAACCAAGGATGGCTGCTTTGGAGCCTGAGGTCTGGGGAATAATTAATTCAGCCATGGGAGAAGGGGCCGGCAGGAACACAGTGAGGAGACTGCTAAGGCCTGGTGGCATAATCTAGAGAAACAGAAATGCCTCCAAAATGGAGGGTCCAGGGGGCAGCTAGATGGCGCAGTGGATAGAGCACCAGCCCTGGATTCAGGAGAACCTGAGTTCAAATCCGGCCTCAGACACATAACACTTACTAGCTGTGTGACCTTGGGCAAGTCACTTAGCCCCATTGCCCAACCAAAAAAAAAAAAAAAAAAACCAAAACAAAACAAAATGGAGGGTCCAGAAGACTATTCCACTTACAGTATTGAACTTTAACGTTTGCAGAGCATTTTATACAGTTTATCTCACTGGAAACTCACAACAACCCTGTGAATTAGGTGGTACAATTATTTCCGTTTTATAGATGGGGAAACTGAGGCTGAGAGAAGTTAAATGATTTGCCAAGGGTCATACAACTAGTAAATCTCTGAGGAAGGATCCAGCTATCTGTTCCACTATTCCACCTGACTGCCATCTCCTTCTAGGCGAGGAGTGTCCAAAGTGAGGGGGGAGTTGTGTGCACTCCTCAGGGGAGAACAGTTAAGAGCTATAACCATTGCTGGCCTTTTCCCTGCATGACTGCATTCTAACAGTGCTGTGTTGGACTCTTCCCTACATGCTTCTCTACAGTCCTTTCCTGCTTGAGTCCAGCCTCAAATTCCCTGCCTGTCCCTGTCCTCTCTTTTCCCACACCCACTGTAGCCGTAGCTACTCTTGCCAATGGGCACGGTGTCCAAATAGCAAAATTTAGAACTCTTGGCTCTGCAGCCCTGCTCCCAAACTTCCAATCACCTCTCTCTTCCAGTAGGAGAACTTAAAAGCAAATAAAGAAAGCCATTTGCCCCAAGGAAATGATCACCGACCCTGCCATCTTGCCATCTACCCTGCCGCTACCCCTGCTAGTGACTTCTGAGATTATCCCCCATTCACCTTGGATATCTATTTTGTATGTGTGTGGTAGATTGCATCTTGTCTCCCCTGTTAGAATGGAAGCTCCTTCATGGAAGGGGCCGGATTTTGTTTGTTTGTTTGTTTTGTCTTTGTATCCCCAGTGTGTAGCACTATGCCCTGCACGTAGTAAGGACTTAATAAATGCTGCATGACTGACCAAAACAGTTACCAGATCTGGAACCCCAATCACTCCTCACGCTCCGATATCAGGGAGGATGGAATTTACTAGCTGAATTTTGACAAATACCATTGCACAATTGGTGGGCAGAACTGAAGAGTGAATACCGTAATTCAATAAACACTGCCAATGATGCACTTCTGTTTGGCCACATGCATTTTTGTGTGGTATCTCCTTCAGCTATGAGTATCAAAATACACCGATCCCAGAATAGGTTTCACAGTAAATCCGCTGTTAAGCCAAGGTTTTCAAAAGCAATGAAGTACATTTGATCCCATGGCTTTCATTAAAATAGTATGAATAATTAGTAAATACTGATAATATTCTATTGGGAGCAAAAAGGATTTGTATAAATAAAATATCTTAAATATTTATTGCATCTTATTCTTTTAAAATTTCTATTTTGGGACTTATTTTATAATGTATATAATATATTAGTGCAGTAAAACCTGTGTATAATTTATAACTAAATGAAAGATGCATACATTAGGAGGGTGTGTTCAATTTCTAAAATTAATCAATTGATTGTTTTTTTTAAATGATCAGGGTAAACAATCAAAAGCTTGGAGACCACTGCTCTAGGGGACTGACTTTTTGGATCCTGTAACAAACTCAGGGCAGCTAGGTAGCGCCATCGTGCACAGAGCACTGGGCCTGGAGTCAGGAAGACCTGAGTTTAAATTCAGCTTCAGACACTTACTAGCAAGGTGACCCTGGGCAAGTCATTTAACCCTGTTTACTTCAGTTTCCTTGGCTGTAAAATGAGCCGGAAAAAGAAATGGCAAACCACTCCAGTATCTTTGCCAAGAAAACCCTAAATGGGTCATGAAGAGTCAGACAAGACTGAAAGGACTGAACAACAACTAATAAATCAAGGATTTCTGTTCTCTCTGGGCTTCACTTTGATACCTGGTAAGAACCGATTTCTGCTCTAAAATGCCCTCTAAGCCTTTCAGCATTTGCCATTGCCCCACTCCCAAGCTTCTTTCCCATCTCTTTCATGACCCTGTTCATCGCTGTGAGCCAGACTACTCCATACTTACAACAGTTTTATTTGGGGGGCAGGAGGGTCTGGGAGACAAGAAGTAGTAGTTGAAACTCAAAGGCCAAGTCAGCATCCCCATCTCTCAGTTCCTAATTGCCCTGAAAATAGCCAATCCAATTTCACTAGTGCCCTGATATCAGGTTATTTCTTGAGCCATGACTGATGGTTCAAAATGATGCTTCAAAGGAAAAGATGACTCGTGTTCCACTTAAATTCCCCATGCTTCATTGTAAGGAGAGGAGATCCTGGGCTCTCAGAGTCTACGGAGCAGGTCCTGACAAGCTGAAGTGCCTTAAGAACTGGTCAGATAACTAGGAAGGACTAATAAGGAAACTTACCAGGTTCTTCTTTTTGCAGAGCGGCTAAATCGAGACTTTCATTTTCCCTATAAAACAACTGAAACTTTTCAAAAGTAGCTGCGTAGATGTTGGCAGTTTCAAATGCCGCATGTATGGCTTCCTTAAGATTAAACAAACACATAAAAATTAGGATCACAACACACGTTTTATGAACCTGTGAGCTTAGTGAACACAAGAAAAGAAATGCAATGCCATTAAAAATCAGCATTTTCCTGGCATAGCAGAGAGGGAAGCTTTCTTGGCCTTGAAGCCAGGAAGATTTGAGTTCAAGTCTCACCCCTGACATACACTGACTGTGTGACTCCAGGTAAGCTACTTCACCCCTCAGGGCCCCGAGTCAGCTCTTCAAGACTGTAGCTCTAAGTTGCAGAGAACATATCAACCTGCATTGGTTAGGGGGAAGTTGCATGTTGGGGGGTTCCATACCAATGAAATCACTAATCCAGTTCCTATCCCCTATTCTTGTGCTTATGAATCTGAAGACATCAAATGAATAACATCTATCAATTGTTCATCAACACAGTGGTCTTAACCATAATCTTTAAGTGTGTTAAATGGATGACATGCATCTTTTGTTCTCATGAAAATGTTACGTTGAATTAAAGAGTTTTCAGAACAACGGAAGATCTATCAGCCATGGGCACACACAATCTACAATTCTACCCCATGACCTCTGTACTTATGACTTGCCTCATTTATCTGGAAGTCCCTCTCAGCTTCTCTCTGCCTAAACATGCATACTCTCCTCTTTTAAAAGCTATGTTCCAAACTCACATTAATAATAATGATAATGATTAACGTTTACATAGCATCTACTACATGTCAGGCACTGTCCTAAATGCTTTACAAATATCATCTCATTTGATCCTAACAACCCTGGGAGGTACATACTATTAGTATCCCCATTTTACAGTTGAGGAAACTGAGGTTAAGTGACTCTCCAAAAGTCACAGAGCTAGTAAATGTCCAAGGAAAGATCTGAAATCAGGTCTTCTTGCCTCCAGGCCCAGCACTCTGTCCACTGTGCCACCCGGCTGCCATGTTCTTCACAAAGCCTTCTCAGACCTCCCAATGTTCCATCTGGCAAAAGATTGGGTGACAGAACACTGTTCCATGTTGGCACTGGTTTAAAACCCATGAGCATTAAAACTATGTTTGAGCAAGATTTCAAAAAATATTATTCTAGTAAGCCATCAAAATTTCTCATTTATCACTTTAGAGATCATTACGTCGTTAAGGCAAAAAAAGTATATTATTAATGGCATACCTTCTTTGGTAATAATTTTTTGTTATGGTTTCATAGTTGTGTCATATGTGGCTGAGATCAATTCTTGAGGAAGAGACATTGACATTTCAAATTATAATACTTACAAATTAGGCAAGGTTCCTTACATGAGAGGCACCTAGGTGGCACAATGGGTAGAGCTTTGGGCTTCATGTCAGGAAGACTTGAGTTCAAATCTAGCTTCAGACACTTACTAACTGCTTGACCCTAGGAAAGTCACTTAACTCTGTTTGCTTCAGTTTCCTCATCTGTAAAATGGGGTAATAGTAGCACCACCTCCTATGATTGTTGTCACAATCAAATGAGATAATAATTGTAAAGTGTTTAGCACAATACATAGCACGTAGTAAGTGCTATAGAAGTGTTAGCTATGATGATGATGATGATGACCACAGGTAAAGTAAAGGGGGAAAATCACTGTCAGTTTTCAGTAATTTTGGTAGAAAAAAAAGAAAAATTTACCTTTATTTTAAAAATTATGGAGTGCAAGTATTTGTCATCATCAAACACAGTTGCTAAACTTGGACCCTCTCCACAAGTCTTTTCTTCAAGTTTATTGTTAACAATAGGACGGGTGAAAGAATCAAAATAAGGATCAGGCACCAGATTAGGGACTGCGAGGAGAGTGGACTCAAAGCGATGAATCGTACCTGAAATACCTTCCTGTTGGGAAAGACAAAGACCAAGAAACATATCCATTTGTGATACTTCTTTAAAATGCTGAAAACCTCCCCGCATCCATAAGTTCATAAATCATAACTCACGCACATAGTTTTTCCTACAGAATCAACTTTCAGAAAGGTATGGAACTTTCTGGTCTTTGTTAAGTTTTTTTCACTGACTGGAAATGAGTTTTTAATTGATATTAAATTTCAAATCAAGTAAAGCAGATATATGTATGAATGTGAATATATAATAGCCCCAAAACAACCATTAGGCAATTAATTAATATTAATATTTATAATTATATAATATAAAAATTATAAATGTAATATTTATAATATATCATTAATTAATGTTATGTTTTTGTCAAGGCTAATCATAAGAAGGGGAGCCTTAATGTCAGCTGATTAAAGTACTGGCTAAACTTGGGTCCTTACTATGACTTATAAGAGTGTGGATGGGCAAAATGCCTGTTTTCTTATTTTCATTTGCTCATAATGCCCAATGATCATAATCAAGGTAGACCAGAAGGGTCTGAGGAAGGAGAAAGACTTTAGCTAAAGTGAAAGGAGAAGAATTGAGTGACATTTGGAAGGCTTTGAAAGTGTGAAGAAGACCAGAGATGGAATCTGGGGAGGAGAAATTTGGGGAGAAAATGACAAGTTGACAATGAGAAAGTGGAGGAAAAAGACTCAACCTGAAGGAGGATTCAATTTGAAGGAATCAGTAAGAACCAAAGGAAGAGAAGAAAGAGGAGTTGAAGGTCCTAAGGAGAAGGGATCTAAAGAATGAGAAGAGTGGAGGGAGAGGACTTGGGCAGAAGGAAGAGAAAGGCTCAAGTGAAGGAGGAAAAGGATAAGACAAGGTAAAGAAGAAAAAAGAGAGTAAAAGCAAGTGGTAAGGCAAGGCGACAGGTTAGTGAGATAAGGAACAGGAAGCAGGGAATAGGGCTTAGGTGGGAAGAGGAGCTGAAGAAGCCCCTAAGGCACTAACAGGATGATCAGGAGGTTAAAAAGGAGAGGGACATTTCAGGAGGCGTAATCAATCACTAGAAGTCTGAAAGGTAAGGACTGAGGACCTCATTTTTAAAAAATTATTTTTTTTTTCAAAAATCAGCAAAAATCCACTTTCTCTCCCATCCCACCAACAATTCCCCCAGGTTACACATATATAAAGTCAAACAGATTCTATTTCCATATTGGCTGTGCCCCAAACATGTGTCATTCTGCACTGAGTCCTTTCACCTCTCGTTAATTCTCTGGAATCGTGATTGGTCATTACACTGATCAGAGTCTCTAATTCTTTCAAAGGGGTTTATTTTTTACCATATTGATTTCATCGTATAAATTATTCTCTTGGTTCTGTTCACTTCACTCTGTATCAGTTCATACAAATCTTCCCAGGTTTCTTTGAAACTATCTCTTTCATTACTTATTGCATCACAATAATATTCTATCACATTTATATACCATAACTTGCTCCTTCAGATTCCCATTCTTTCTTTTCTTTTTTTTGGGGGGGGGAGGGAGCAATAGGAGTTAAGTGACTTGCCCAGGGTCACACAGCTAGTAAGTGTCTGAGGCCAGATTTGAACTTGGGTCCTCCTGACTCCAGAGCCAGTGCTCTATCCAGTGTGCCACCTAGCTGTCCCTCAGATTCCCATTCTTTGAAAAGATCTATAAATATTTTTGTACATCGTTAGAATTTATTTTGCATTGGACTATTCCCTCTCTTAATTTGCCCTCCCTCAATCTGTCCTTCCTCTAATTCTCCCTTCTCCTTTCTCCCTTTTCCTTCATATTTCCCTGTTAAATAAAGTACATTTTTGTACCCAGCTGTGCATTTGTGTATTCTTCCCTCCTTTGACCAGTTCAGATGAGAGTGAGGTTTGATGTCTACTTGAGGTGAAATGTTTATCTGAGCACCTTAATTTTGTGCTCTCATTTTCCCTTTCTTTTCCCTTCCCTACCCCCAAAGTGTATTCCTCTTCCCTTTTCTTAACAGTCCTCATGAAGACATGACATCTATTTAGACTTCCTCCATGAGAATAGGGCTCAGAGGAGATACGTGTACGATCTCTCCATATTATAACGTAAGCAGTTAATGCTTGTTTAGGCCTTTATCACTGATTGTTCAAGTTTATCTTTCTATGTTGTTCTTAATTCCTGTGTTTGAACTCCAAATTTTCTCTACACCTTAAGTCTTTTCATGAGAAATGCTTGGAAATCCTCCATTTCATTAAAGATCTATTCTCCCCCTGTAAGAAGATACTCAGTTTTGTGGGGCAAGTCATTCTTGGCTGTAAGCCTCTATCATTTGTCTTTTGGAATACAGTACTGCAAACTCTGCTCCTTTGGAGATTGTCTGTGATCCTGAATCTGGTTCCTCAGTATTTGAATTCTCTCCTTCTGTTTCTAGTATTTTTCTTTGACCTGGATGCTTTAGATTTTGGCTGTGATGTCCCTAGGAGTTTTCATTTGGGGCTTTCTTCTTCCACGTTGCCCTCTGGTTCTAAGAGATTGGGAAAGTTTTAAGATTTCTTGAAATGTGGTATCTAGGCTCTCTCTTTTTTGGTCTTGATATTTCGGTAGTTTAATTATTTAATTATTCGTAAATTCTTTTCTCTTTGATCTGTCTTCTGGGCCAGTTGTTCTTGTTATGAGATACGTTATAAGTCTATGTTTTCAGCCTTTTGGCTTTCTTTGAATATTTCTTGTTGTTTCATGGAGTCAGTCTAGAAGGTTGGAAGGTGGGAAAATGTAGAAAGGAAAGGAAAGAGGAAGACTACTGAATACTTGGAGCTAAGAAACAAATTTCAGGCTTTTCCTGAGGAGAAGACGATTAGATCCTCTGAGCAGGAAAGGAAGCAGCTACTCATCTGTCTTCTTAAAAATACAAAAGTAAAACCATGCAAACTGTCAGGTCAGATAGCATACAGTATTAGTTAGAAGAAGAAGAGACAAGCAATAGTGGTTGGTGAAAGATAAGGTGACTATTTGTCAGTTGGATAACACTAGAGAGGTCTGCTGTCTTCCTGGGGTGTATTTATATACGAGATATGAAAAATCATTTACCTGGGCAATGATGGTGCCAAAAGGAGCCTCAAAAAAGATATGAGAGTCTTAGTGAATTGTAAATGCAATGAGTCAAAAGTATGAAATGGCAGTGAAAAAAATCTAAAATAATCTTGAGCTGTGAGAAAAGAGGCAGGAATCCCAGGAACAGGGAATTGGGAGGTGACTGTCTCGCTTACTTTGCTCTGGTCAGACTACATCTGAATACTGTGTTCGGCTCAGGGTACCCCATTTTAGGAAGAAATGTGATAACCTGGAGGACTTCCAAAGGAGGGTATTCAAGGGCGTGAAGGGCCTCAAATGTGATTCTGTGATGGGTTGAAGGAGCTAGGAAGGCTGTCCTGGAGAAGTCAGGCATGATAATATGGAGATAGCTGTCCCCTTGAAGACAGATGAAATTGTTCTGTTTGTTCAGGGAGGAAGAATTAGGAGCAATATCTGAAACTTGCAAAGATGCAAATATCTGTTTGATGTAAGACAAACCTTCCTAATAATGAGCACTTTTTCCCCACATTGGAATTGGCTGCCTCAGAAGGCGAGGAACAGGGTCATCAGCATTCTTGTCAGGGAGCTTCAAGCAAAGGCTCCACTGGCCACTTGTCCGCTATGGTAGAAAGGGAACTCTCTGCCCTGAGTTCAGCCATGAGGCTTCTAAGATCCCATCCAACTCCGAAATCCCATGAACTTAAAACAAGTGATTGACCTTAACAGTATATGTGTTAACACACCGATTCATTCATTCTCAAAGATAAACGCAGAAGCCTTTCAAATATGGCATTCTTCATGAGCATTTGAGAGATCTTATTTTCAGTAGAATAACAGAACATTACTAGAGGGATGTCACTGACCCATAAGCACAAAGGTTACATATGCTAAACATATACATTACCCTTACCTAACTTTCACTTAAAACATTTGGAAAGCTTCCCATAATAGGAACAATCCTGCCCAACAGTATTTTCTGTTTCTCTTTTACCCAATATGGGGGACCACTGTATTGGCAGTCAATGGATAGCAAAACAATCACAGTTTCCCCAATACTGGGTTATATATCGTTTCATACCAGGCCAAGCTAAAAAGTATTTTCTAAAACAAACCTGAAAATTTTCCAAAGATGGGTCAAAATACAAAGACGTGATCTCCAGCATGAGTTCTGTAACAAACATGGGCTGCAAAGATTCGTCCTCTTCTTGCCTATCTGCTGTTGCTGCACCAGCCTAAAACGGGACAACTGGAATGTTATACAGATCAAAGAATTAGGATAAAATAATAAAATAAAGATAAAATGGTGAATGAATGACTTAATTAAATTTTAAAAAATTGTCCTAAATTCTCTGACACAATTTGGAAATCATTTTGATGTGAAACGTGACCTGGCTTTCAAGGACTTAGTCATCTGACTTGAGCATTCATCAATACTGGCCTTGGCAGACTTATGCAAACCATTTGTGTTAGACACAATGGGGCCTAGAATCAGGTTTCTACCTGGAGAGTGATCACCACTGGAAGACAATTGCATTGCTAATAGAGGACTTACACACAGTGAGACTCATTATCCCCTTCACAGACTGGATGCTCTTGAGCACAAAGTGAGCTGTCATTGATGAGTTCAGCCACTATGAGTTTAGTGCTTCAATTTCACAGTGGGACAGAAAACTCACTTTTATGAATTAATTAATTTATGACTTTTATTTTGTCAAATACGAAGGTGGGTGTTTACTTCCTAAGATGGGTGGCAGCACTGGCCCATCATGACTTCAGTGGACTTTAATAGCCAGGGAAGATGAATGTGGCTGTAGGTACATGGTCCTGTAGGCTACTGGTATGTCTATAGTCATGGTGACTCCCTTCAAAGGGGTGCAGATCATGTGGTCTTCCACTTGCAAGGAGTTCAGCCACTATAATAATAACAACAGCTAGCTAGCATTTATAGAGCACTTTAACGTTGGCAAAGTGCTTTCTGTGCTTTCTCATTCGACTTTCACAGTGGCCCTGTGAAGTAGGTGCTATTGTAATCCCCATTTTACAGATGAGGAAACTGGGATAACTGAGGTTATCAAATGACTTGCCCAGGGTTACACAGCTAGTAAGGAGCCGAGGCAAGATTCAAACTCAGGTCTTCCAGATCCAAATCCAGCACTCTATAGACTGGACCACCTAGCAACTGACTTTATAGAGACAGACAGTGGGCTTCAGCCAGGAAGCATCGGGATCAACTCTTGCTTCTGATCCATACTGGCTGTGTGGCCCTGGACAGTCCATTAACCTTTAATGTTGTGGGCGATGCTTAAGAGTATAAATAACAGAGAAAGTACTGACCTTTGTCAGTAGGGGGTGTTACCTATATGAATGAAAACCCGTGTTCAATCCCTCTCCCTCTCCTTAGACATTATGTTTCTGTGTGTGACCTCTACGGTCTGCAGCATGCAGCCCCAACGTCGATGATATATACCATGCGTCTGCATATGTGCTGTGTATTCAGGATGATTATCTGTGCCTACGCTGTAAGTCAAACAATGAATATTAGTGACGCATATTTACGAGAATAGCTATGGACCCAAGGTGACTTCCAGGAACTGTGCTTTCTTCTTCAACTGAGGTAAGGATGTGAAGAGGACAGATGTACTATTTGCTTTTGTGGACTATATTCCTTTGATGCTTGTGGGAGAGCTCAAGAGCTTTGAATGCACCCAGTTTGACTGGAAAATCAAAGTTATAAAAGGTAGCGGCTTACGGAAAGGCCAGGGAGTGAGGAGGGACGTGCAGGGACACAGAACTAGAGACTGAGGTTGGGAAAGAGGAAGGGAAGGCAGGACCAGGCTGGCCTGGATCTTTAGAGTTTTGTTGCCTAAGACCATGCCAGCTTGTGCTCCCAGAACAAACACAGCCTGTTTGTGGCCTCTCCTCTCCAGGCCTCTAAGACTCTCAGGGGCTTCCCCTCCCAGACTAATCCTTTTGTAAAGGCAAACTAGGCTGTCTTTGCCTCAATTCTTATCTATTCTTTAACTACTAACAGGGCACTGCCTCAGACAAACTGGAACCTGGGAAAGACCTTAGCTAAAAAAGGCCAAGGTCTCCCATTGCATCTCAGGCCATTGCCAGTCGTCCTGACCTATGTCTTGCCACTGGACTCCAATGACTCTGGAGGACAGAGTGAGGCTGTTGACTTTGCACAGCTCTGCCTCACTTAAATCCAAGTCACTTGAAGTCAAGGTGTTACCCTCTTCTTCAAGAATAACAATCTCTAGTGTTCAAATACACAGCCGTGACTTCAGATAAACTGTGTCCTCCTAAAGCGTTGGGACAAGACTTTGACTCACCTGTGGCCTCATGGGCCAGAAGGAGATTTAGGCCTTCTTGGTTTGGATGCCCCACACACTAACACTTTGGTTCATTTGCTTTGTTATTTATCTTGCTTTATGATGCCTTTTATTGAATTGATGTACTTTTAATAAGTCCAGCAATAGAAAGACCTCTGAGTAGAGGTTCATGATTACTTGATTACCCCAAACAGCATCTCAAACCTGGGAGGTAGTAAGTGGTACCCTTAAGGGGAAAAACCACATAACCCTCACCTGTGATTGGTTCATTTACTCTATCATTCTACCATCTGTAAGACTCTTCTCTTGACTAAGCTATGTGTCTCACCTTTTGCAAAGATCCTACTTAAAGCATACTTTAAAGGAAGAAAACCTTCACTTACACCCCTTGACTGTCACTATTCTACTCAGTGCCCTCGGCCTCCAAAACACATTATTTTTTATTTATCCAGAATGGCTTCCTTGTATTGCACTATCATGTCCTACACCATTCCTTCTCTAAGCCAGGAAGAGTAGTTTCTAAATCTCCTCTCTACAGAAAGCCCTAGGCTCATCTCCATAACATATGCACTCAATTGGTTAATGAACACTATTTTAATCCTACCTTTTTTTCAACTATTTCAGGCTTCTCATCAGTCCACTTCTGGATAATTTCCACTGGAGGTGTCTGTTTTAATTTTTCCATAAGATAGTTCAAAAGAGTGTTAACGGAGTTGACTGTCAGCACATGCAATGTATTCACAATTAGATAGTCAATGAGGCGGATAAAGCTTGGAAGAGAAAAGAACACAAGCTGACCTCATTGTATACAGCATGTGTTCCTGAAAATTTGAACACAAGGCAAGTATTTGAAGATAAAAATCATGCTTTTCTTATTGACTTCAATTATAATCATATTATGATTTCAGACATGTATTCTCCCAGAAATAAAGTGTTGACCCCAAAGAAGTAATAAAATATACACTTAAGA